GCCGCGCTCCAAACATACACCTTTAACAACCTTTTTCGAATTTACAAATTAACCGTTCGCAAGCACAGAAGTGACTTCTTTATATCCCTACTGCTCCTTCCGTCCTGATTTATCTGACTTCTTAGATATCTTAAATCAGCCACTTCTTCTAATTTTTCGTCTCGTTTATATTCGCTCTTTCCCTACTTTTTCTTCCCTTGCATACCAGTATTTAGTTTTACTTTTATTTATTTTCAAACAGTACTGATGTGTCAGTACCGCTTCCATTTTATTTAAAGCTATCCCTAGGTCTTCCTTGCTAGATGCTAATACTGTTATATGATCTGCAAATCTAAGCATACTAATCTTTTGCCCCTGTATATCTATCGCTACAGTTGTACTGTCTAATGATGTTAATCGCGTCTTCGATGATGATAGTATCAAACTGAAAAAATCAGTAGATCCTTGGACACCCATTCCTTCCAAAACCATATTTTATTGGCTTGATAATGTATAAATAATTGTTCCCCATCAGATTAAACTTTGTAAATTTGGTAGTGGGATGTTACTATTCTGCAATGGTGCCTCTCTTCATTAATAAAAACCGTTATGTTTAGTAAATTTGAGTATTTTGTTATTATAAAAAATCATTGATCAAGTCTCTATTTGAAATTGACATTTTATTAATGTGGGACTCGTACGACTGGTACTAACGATTTCGGTTACCAAGAACAAAAAAAAATTATTCTAGAAATGAAATTCGATGAATTTGGGGAAAGTCAGGTGCTTAAACAGCTCCTATCCGTCTTATTTCTCCCCATTGCTAGATTTTGGTTTAAATTCTGATGTTCCTCTGAGATTATTTACATCACATTTCAGTTGTTCATTATCTTCTTTCGGACTCGAACTCTTTGAACCAAAATGTTGACAATAGTTGTTATATCAGGTATATAAAATATATCTGAACAACTTCTAATAATATTTGTTGCTCATTCTGCTGATGGTTCTGAAGATTATTTGTAGTATCCTGTTTCCATTGGAGCCTTTGCTTCCTTTGCATGTAGTAACTCGAACGTCCCTGCAACTCTCGTCACTTCAGTACCAAGGCAATGTTTTATTTCTCCTAGGTCTACTGCTTCAAATTTTTCCTAGATACTTATCTATTATCTTAATCTGATCTTTCATCTTATAAACAACCATGCCAAATGTCATCAAAATAGATTCAAACATAACACCAAGCGTCTGCTATGCGAGTAGACATGGGTCTGGTTGTTCTTGTATGAATTCACCGTTGACTATAGTTTTGTTTACCTATTCAAGCTGAGCTCTTCCCGCTTATTTTAATCCACAGAGGATTTACTTCTATAAACAGACCCTGAATCCACTAAGATGAAACCTGGTGGCTTCTACATATGAAATGGTTTCATTCAAAATTCCATTTAGAAAAGTAGTTTTGTATTAAGATGATGAATTATCAACCCTATCATTCCTGAATCGTACAACAAAATTCTGAATGTTGATCGATGACAAATTGATGGAAAAATTTATTAAAGTTGCAACTCGATATTGTAACCTTTTTAACATGAATACTAATTTACATCCAATTTTTTCTCTTTTTTCAGGTAAATCTGTCAGTAATCGTGTATTATTTTTCTTGAGCGAATCTATCTCCCCATGTATGGCTACAATCCATTTAGTTTTGTCTTTGTTTGAGATGGTTTCTTCAAAATTTTTGGATTCGCGTGTTTCTTCAGTTGTTAAATTTATCTCTTCGTTCATCTTTTATCTTTTTCTTTCGTTGCTCTAGCAGAAATTCATTGGATAATCCGTTCTTTCTTAACGTCTACGTCCCTTTCCTATTCATCTCTTCTTCTGTTGGTTTCTCGCAGTAGGTGTCCTTTTTCTGTTTCTAGTTCTCTTTGCTCACTTGAGATTGAAAATTGATTCCTTTTTCTGCAAGTTTCTTTTGAAAATATGATGTTACGTGTAACATGCTTAATTATTTTGTGTTTCTGGTGGTACTTACCTGTCTTTTATGTTTATATGTTTAATTTTATTATTTTGCTATGTATACCCAATTTTGTTAAACTTAGCAACGCTGTATGAATTTACGATTGAAGATGCATGCGTAGAGGCATCATCTTTATATCGATCTATCTAAGACATACCTTTGTAAAACACTACAGTCCACAACTTCTTGCTCAGAACACGTATGCTCTTTAAAATAAATAATCTTTTTCACATATGGCTGTTCTTCTTTGATGACATTCAACATTACTACTTATTTTTACTTTGTGTGTTACTGGATTGTAACATAGAAATACCATCCCGTTTCCTGTTTAATCCTATGTCCTTTTTTCATAGGAAAAATAATGCATGCCGTTGTGTACCGCTTCACTTACAGCTTTTGATTCGTCGCAAAATCGGCAGTGGTGCATCGAATACCGTATTGCGGTTGCCAATCCGTTCTTGGTAGCGTCAAATGCAGTGATCGCCACTGGTTTTAATTCCAGTGGCTACTTCATTTTTACCTTACCCTTCGTTAAGGGATGCAGAAGTTTCTAGACGGTGGTTGGTCGTGCGAGAAATGTCATCGCCTTGACTCATTACTGTTGACAAGGTATCTCAGGAACTTCACCTCGGATTGTCTTTTGTATTTAACCGGGTCGAATACGATACCGTCATCTTGAAATCTGTGGGCCGTTGTTAATTCCACCTACATGTCGTCTAAATACGCCTTAACAGAAGTCTAGACTGTGTACTACTTTGTCAATGAAACGCTGGAACCTTTGTGCCGCGTTTCGTAGACCAAAAGAGATAAAGGCAAACTTATTTAGTCAGAAGGGCGTAGAAGTAGTGGTTTCACAGATGTCTTCCTCGGCGACTGCGATACAGTTTTTGTCGCCTTTCTCTAAAACATTTGGAGAAAAAGAGAACCATCGCACCCTGCAAGCGATCTGCAGTCAACTTTCGTGACCGCTTGACTCATCACTGAGATCTTGATTAGTCGTAACCATCGATGATTGTACAATTTTTCGCGTCATTTTTTAGATCGAAATATTTGAGGAAATCGATACCAGGGATAAGTCTGATAACATTTCCGACTACGAACCTACGTGTAAAATGTCTTCGGAGCCCTATATTGAGAGTTCTCATCGTCGTTATGTACGTTGTAAGTAGCGATCCGTTTGCTGCGAGAAATTGGTAAGTACTCCTTTCTCAAGTCCACTAAAAATTGGTATTAGAATGCGATGGGAGGTTGTAGGCCTAGGTTTTACACTGCCTTACTCGTTGACTAAATCGTTCGTAGTACTAACACACAATTCTGAAGTTTCGGTGCGAAAACTTTTAATCTCTTTCTAAAGCTATGCTCGTCTCCATCCACATCTGTCGCAATATAGTTTTTCCAACATTTCGGTAATCAACAATAGTGTACTTGCAAAAGTAGTACTGTCACTGCTGCGATTGTAGGCTTTGGTTATCGATAAGTTCATTACTTTATCTGCTGGGTTTACCACGTCCTCCAAGTTGCCATTGTCCTGCGCCTTGAGTTTCTGCTGGATATTGCTCGGTAATCGATTATACCGTACGGCTCGAATAATGTTGCTGCAAAAATTGGGACAGCTTTTCAACTCTTCGTTTTCCAGAAATCGACGAGTTTTCTCCTCTTGAGACGCACTGCACCGTTTTATTAACTTAAAATTTGTTAGCAACAAAAAAATAGATTCAACAAATAATAAAATATGTTTCACCAAAACCCGAAGAAGGAAGCTGATCGTGAAGGCGAAAAGACTTTATGAAAACTGAAGAAGTTAGAGTAAAGGAATGATTTTGAAAAATTGAGCATTAGTATTCAGTTCCAATTCATCGAAGAAAAACCTCATAAACTTGCCATTGGGAAGGAATGCGAAATACAAATGTAATGCGGTTAGTAAGCGAAGTTGGAATATTAAGTGGGATACAAGTTATTTACAGACAGAATAAAATTCCAAAAATTGAATACAAAGGTTTGGAATAAACATTAAACAAAAGAATTTTGATGCAATAATTGGACTATGCATACTTAAGGATGCAATACCATTATTTGAAATTAAAGTTGCCAATTTTTCCCTGCGTGACAATAAAAACTTAAGGTTTGACAATGCGGCGTGCGTACTCATTAAAAAAAATGTTTTTCACCGTCTGAGACGTAAATTCTGGGAAATATTCGGGTACACCCTATTTGAGCGTTGACAGTTAAGAAATACTTACGTGTTTTTCTGACAGATTTATAAAAATAATGCCAAGAAAATTAAAAACAGGTGCAACTCAGTAAAGTACAGTGAAATAAGTGAAACTTCTTTGGCGATATTCTATACCTTTATTACGAATAAGTAATGATTGGTGAAAGAGAGAGTACGAGAATTTTCAGGATTTACGTTTTTCAGCATATTTTATTTTTAGTACACCTAAGGAGTATTACTTTAATACGTTTTTATGTAATTCAATAACAAAAAAATGGACAAATATTTTTCTCTTCCGTTTATTTTTCCAAGTGCTTAAGAAACCGTAAACTATCAATAACTACAAGTACAAGTACAACCATACAGTATACATTAATATGTAAGATGCCGATCACTAACAGCTAATACCGATATGCGCATGCACGCCTTTCTATTCTCATAGCCTATCGCGTCGCGAGACAAAACGTTGCAAAACGTGTCGTTTCATGGCGTTGAGATTTTACTCCCATAGAGCCCAAAGAAGTTTCACTTCAAAAAATACTTAAATGTAGCTAAAAATATTGATATATTATTATATTACTTGCAGTGATTGAACATAAGGATAATGTTTATAGTATTACAAATTTAAAGTAGGGATAGCAAGACTTTTGAAATAATTTATTCTTCAGTTTTATTTTTATAATATTAAGATGTTGTTTCCTCTAATGGTCTAGATTTAGAGTCTAGATTGTTAAATTAAATTATTTATTGCATTGTATAATATTCAAATGCTAACTGATGTTTTTCTTTTTTTTTCAGAAATTCATCAATGACTTATTAGATAAGGCGAAAACACTTTAAGTAAGGAGCACGCACCAAAAATTCTCAAAATCAGGCTATCGGCTGCCCTTTTTTGCACACCAGAAAATAAGTTTGTATGCGTCGATGTGTGTCATTACAACAGCCAAGTTTTAGAGAACGTTTTTTGTGTTTTTTACGACCTAAACGATTAGCGTATGGTTACAATCGTCTTATTGTTAAGTAGAAGAATATTATTGGCAAAGTTGAGGCCTTAAAAAGTAGGACACTAACTTAATACACACACGTATAGTAAAGAAGGCCACTGTATTGTAGACAGTTAAATAATTTGCAGTAACTACAAATGAATTAGTTTCTTTGTATTTTAAAAAGGATAATTCACTAAATAATTGAACGCATAAATAATGTATAGATAACTATTGAATTTGGATTATTGTCTGATTTCGTTTGTTATAATGTAATTTTTCTAATATTTAATATTATTATTGTGTAATTATTTATGTAATAACCAAAATGTTAGTTTTGTAATTTCTTCATTGTGTATTTAATTTTACTTTTTTTCTGACTGTTGATCACGAGTACAACGACTTATTCATGAATGTTTCATCATGGGATACAAATTAATTGTTGTTTCATGTACATTGTACATTATTATTACATACATATTTCGTTTCTCGAATCAATTAAGTTATGGAATTAATACCAAATACCAAATTCAACGCATGCTTGGCTTGCAAGCTATGCTGCAAATATAATAGTTATTACTACATCCACATCAAAACCACACCACAAGCACGTGTACATAATGAAAAACTAACTCCTCCCTGTTAGTCTTCTGTCATTTATTTAGCTTTAACAAGCCCAGATTGATTGCCCTTGCGTTTATTAGGAATGACCACTTAATGAGTAGTTACAATAATATCATTTTTTAAAAAGGTCATCACTTGGGGCCGTACAAGAGTGAATTAATTATGTTACTGTTTAAATTACCAAATTACCATTAACACTCATGAAGTTTTAACATTTAATATTTATTAATAATTACCCTGAATTAATGGCAAAATTAACTTCATTTCTGTTTTGTATGTTCACTAGCCTGGTATTTATATGAGTCTTAAACCAGAATTAATTTAAATGTCTTCAAATTTAATTAGAATCAGCTGTTGAATTAGCTTACAATCAATAAGCAAAATCATACATAGGTACAAATAGGTCATGAAATTTTCATTTGTTATAACAATGTTTGGGTTGAATAAATCAATCGATTAGTGACTTGTTTTGCTCATTAGTCGAATTAGGTATTTGTGTCTGATATTTTAAAAACTAGTATAAGGTAGGTAATACTTGAAAACACGGTAATAGTGCATTAGCGGGGCTCCAGCCCAATTTAATTAAAAAAAAAGTTTTAACGATCGGAACACATTCTTCTACTACCTAGAAATAGAAAATAAAAGGTGGAGGAAGTCATTTATTATAATTATTAATTACAAAAGTTTCTAGACGGTG